AAAAAAGAAAAGAAATAAGACAAATCGAAAGTTTTCAAAACTATTAAAATACCTCAATCCCAATCCACGTCCAAACCCCATGAACCAAAAAGAACTTATAGTCCTCATTTTCTCTATTAATATACCTTCATTTTCTTGGAACAGGAGCTTATTTTCGGACTCCATTTTTATTCCAACCAGTATAGAGAGGACAGGATGTTTTGGCCCAAACAACGTCCTGTTCTTTTCCAGCTTCTGTGTTGTTCTGTTTTTAAATTATTTTTTTTTGTAAGTGTTTTACGGCTCTCACAACTGAACAAGGTCATATGAGTGCGCGGGACACATTAAACTTTTTTCAGTTGGTAGGAAATTTTGGATTTTTTCCCGGGTGGCGGCCGAAGCCTACTCTTATTGATTTTATACCACCTAGAGATCTTTAAGGTGCGCAGCTTGCACACGGGCCCTTCGAGATTTTTCGCCCTTGTCCGAGAAGGCTAGGTGTAGACCTTTCCTACCAGAAGATCAGGGGTGTGGCTGAAAGACAGCAGTAAGAAGGAGCTTATGAGAAGAAGTAAAAAAGCTGCAGAAAGAGTCAAGAGCCCAGAGGATGGGGCAAAGGAGGTGAAGGGTGGGGGCAGAAAGAGGAGACACGAAAGCAGACGACAGAAAATTGATAGAGAGCAGGAAAGGAGATGAAAGGAGACAATTTTACAGAAGAATTTTTTTAGGCCGCTATCCGGATTCGAACTCGGGACCTTTGAGTGAGAGACGAACACCTTAACCTCTCAGCCAGGAGAGTCCCCGTGTTGTTCTGTGGAAGAGCTATACACAGTTTCTCCAAACTTAGGAATTGAACTCGGGTGTATTAAAAGAATAATACAAGTTGCATTAACATAGCGCATATCCACGCTCTACACTTTACCCCATGCGCTTTACAACTATTATTACCCCAGCGACCCTAGAAAACTCACAAATATTCTCGTGTAAAGTGCCTTTCTCAATGACACAACGTCAGGTCCCCGACGGGATTTGAACAGACGATTTTCCGATTTCGTCGAGTTCGAGAGCCTAGCCACTAGGCGACCGACACCGCGCTAGTCAATTGTTGGTCATGTTTAGAAACTGGTATCATCTTTAAGGTTGTTCATTTGTCTTGCTTTTGAAGAAAAAATTCTCCAGTTATCTTGAATACACGTCGAGATAATTGCATTTGAAGGAGATAGGGGTCGTCTGGTTTCAGATGTAAAATTAGCAAGAAACTGGCCTTCAAATTTGCGTAATTTCTATAGCTTGAGAGTCCTTGGAAACTGAAATTTACAAATTGTGTCTCTTTGATCAACGTTTTTCAGTAAAATCCAAGCAGAAATGTGTTTTTATAAGGATACAAAAGGCGTTAAGCTAAAAACAGAAAATTTGAAAAAAAATTGCCCATCGGCCAAAAATGCCAGTTTCTTTGATTTCATTATTTTGACGAGCGCCTGGTTTCACCACGATGCCTTACATAATATGTGGGGCAGCGTGGTGGAATCAGGCTCTCATCAATTTTGGGGCATTAGGGTTATTGATATCATCTCAAAGCTTATTCACTTGTCTTTATTTGGATGAAAACAAAATCCATTTATCTTGAATACAAGTTGAGATATTCGCAAAAGAAGGAGGTGGGGGTCACCTGTTTTCAGAGGTAAAATTAGAGAGTAATGGCCGCCAAAGATTAATTATTTCCTTAACATAGGAGTCCATGAAAACTGAAATTTTAGATTTACATCTTTGTGCCTTTAATCAACGCTTTTCAGAAAAAGCCACACAGAAATGAGTTTTTTAATGGGCATGAAAGGTGTTGAGCCAAAAAACAAAAATTTGATAAAAATTCACAAACCTGTGGAAAATGCAAGTTTTTTCACTTTGATTATTTTGACGGGCGCCTGATTCCACCTTGTTGCCTCACATATGGCTCCTGTGTGTGACAACAGCGAAGTGTCTCACCGCTACACTACAGAGACCAGTATGCGCGCTCAGGCAAGACAAAATGGAAATTAGGACGCCCCAAAACCCCACCATTTAAAAAAAAGTGAACTTCTAACTTCCTAAGATCTTCAAAGCTGACGCAAACATTGCAAAAAAACAACCCAGAATGATTGGCAAAAATGGCACTACAAACACTAACATTAACACCTCTGAGTCAAGAGTGACCATCAAAGGTTGGAAACTTGAGCCATTGAATTAATTCTATGTGCCAGGTAGTTTGATGTCCCTCTGAGGTAATCGTGCAGTGGAATAATATTCTTGATCAACCTGACTGAGCAACCAAATACGTTCGATGGTGTCTTTTTTCAAATGTGACCCTTTTCCCATCACCCC